CTGGAGGCGGGGTCCTGCGCGGGAGCTCCCGTACCACCCAGAGCCCCCCTCGCGGTCCCGCCCCACTTGCGCCGCGGGACCCGCCTCTCCGTCCGGGCTGCCTGACCTCTCACTGCAGCGCAGGCGCGGCGGAGGGGCGCGAGCTGCGCCGGGGGTGGGGTGAGGAGTTCGCCCGCGAGGCGGTCCTGGAAGGTTAACACTGTGGAAAGAAAGAATCCGCACGCCTTTGCCTTATCGCACCTGCTCTGTTCATTTTAAAATTCTTCACGTTTATTAGGATTTTATAAGGGACAAGGGAGTTTTTCCATTTAACACATATTTCATCTGTTTTTTTTAAAAAGTCTAAAAAGCTACACTTTCTTTGCCTAGTATTGCTGCCAACAGTATCTCATTTAGCCTTCAAAGCAAGCGAAGACAGGCGCTAGTTCGTCCCGGGTTACTGAGGAGGAGCGCGGCCCTGGAGAGGTGGAGTGCTTGCCCAGGTCACAGGCTGCGGGGAGCTCGATCCGAGCCAGGCTGTGAAGTCCAAAGCACGTCGGACACCTGCACAGGGGCGGAGGGCAGGCTCTGGCCCCTTAACCAGTTGTGCATTAAAAACCTGAGGCTCCTTTTTTTCTCAGCGGTAAGGGACTCGGAATCCCTCTGGTGACGAACCTACCTTCCTATCCTCTAATCTGAAGCTTCTTTACTTTTGTGCATTTGGTGAAAACAAATGAGGTGTTCATTTCACTACATAAAGTAAAGAAGAAATAAAATCTTAAGAAAAATATAAGCTGGGTGTAGTGACACGAGCCTGTTATACCAGCACTCTTGGAGGCCCAGGTAGAATCACAAGCTCAAATCAAGACAGGGCAACTTAGTGACTGAGACCCCATGTTAAAAAAAAAAAAAGAAAAAAATTTAGTGTGAAGGCCCTAAATTTGATCCCCAATACTGCAAAAAGCAAATAAACCACCCTGAGCCATCTGCTGTCTGCTGCTTCTGTACTGATCACGGATTTCAGAGAGGCTATAGCGGCTGTCAGGGCTTATCTATGGATCAGAGCTTAGCTTGAAAAACACTCCTACAGGATAGTGCTGGCACTTGCCTCTACTCTCAGCATTCAAGAGGGTGAGGCAGGACCGCCATGAGTTTGAGGCGAGCTGGGCTACAGTGAGTTCAAGGCCAGCCTAAACTAAAAGTGAGTCCCTGTCTGTAAAACAGAACTGTAGACAGTGTAAGAAGGGTATGTCTTTTAAAGGCTGGAATCTCATTTTGTTCAGTTTAAATACAGCATGGTAGTTTTGAAACATGTCCAGATATCCTTCAGCCCTCCTCCCTTCAAAGCTGGAGCCTAATTCCACCTCCTGGCTGTGGACTCACTCAGTGACTCACTTCTGATGAACAGACTACAGCTGAGTAATGGCAACTGACTGCTGAGACTCAGTCACAAAAGACTCCACGGCCTCTTTGTTGTGTCTCTGAGGTTGCTGCTCCAGAGGAAGTCCCCCGTCACATGCTGAGAATACCTACAAAGCCTTGTGACAATGTTCCCGCGATGAGGAGGAATTGACGCCTTTGGCCAAGAGCAGGAGAGGAACTGAGGCTTCTTGTCCAAAGCCACAGGAGTGAACCATCCTGGAAGAGGACCCGCCTGCCCCAGTTAAGCCACCCCAATACCTCACTCAGAGACTGTGACAGTGCTCACTTCACTAAGCCACTAAGCTGTGGGTAGTTTTCTCTGTGGCAATAAAGAAAGATTTGGGGGACACACAAGTAGAGTGTCGCCATATGTGGTGGATTGACAACTGGTGGTCAACTTGTAACACCCAGCTGAACTGAACCAGCGTGGTGCTGGGGAGATCCAGGACCTCAGCTGGATTCTTTGGGTCTCTAGTGTGTGGACAGATCTCCCACATTCTTTTGCACTTGACTCTTTGGGTGAATATTATCAAAAAATCCTATAAATTATGTATCCTGTATTAAATATTTTCCCTTTAAACCCTGACTACAACAGGGACCATCCACCAACTCCAAGCTGGCTCTACATTTTGCTTCTCCTTGGCACAGGGGAGCAGAGGTGCTGACTAACCAATCTACCTGATCACTAACCAATCTACCAGATGAAGGCAATGCCCAGGAAGAGAAGGTAAGCGTGGAGACTCAGCAGACCCAGGGAGAAAGATCAGACCTGGCAAGGGACTCCAGGGACTCTAGATTACCCTTAGGTGACTGGGTGAGAGACAACCATGGGAGACCACTGGGGAGAGGCAGTGGGCCAGATATAGACCACCCTGAGAAATATAAGCTCCCACTGGGAAGGACATAGGCCCTGCTCTCCTAAGGGAGAATCCAGACAGGTATGGACATTAAATTCAACAGTCCACTTAAATCCTCATTCTGTGGCCACTTAAATCCTCATTCTGTGGCCTAAATTCAGCAGAGACCACAGGACTGATGATTCTTCCAAACGGCCGTGGGAGCAAGGATATGCAATGGCTCAGGTGATAGCCATGGTCGGGGTGAACAGACAGAGGGTGTCTCTGGTGCAGGCAGGGCACCTCAGAATACACAGGCAGGGAAAATCATGTCTGGCTGGATCCCAAGGCTGCAGACCTTGAAAAGAAACCACTCATTCAAAAATACAAAGGATTATTTTTTGACTCAATCTTTTAAAAAAACTTTTACTATGTTTTTATTTTTCTCTTTTCCTTCATTGAGATTTTAGGAGGCATAGGGGTTTTTTTTCCTCCCTTTTTGGCCTTTTTGTTCTCTTTTAGTTTCTGTGACAGTTAACTGATTATGTCAACTTGAGTAAGAAACACCTAACTAAATTGGATCAGTGTAGTTCTGGGTGTGGCTGAGGGTATTTACTGAAGACAGAAGACCCAGCCTGGGTAGGCTTGTGGCCTGACTGGGATAAAAGGACAATGAAGAAAGAGGGCTAGCTTCTGTTTCTTCACAGGAGCTCCAGTCTTCACCTTCACCTGGGATGTCGTCTCTTGGCTTCCAGTGCAGACTCTTCAGCCTAAAGCACAGACAAGTAAAAGACCAGATAAACATAAACACAATTACAGTGGGGCCTTCAGTACCCCACTATTACAAATAGATCAACCAGAAAAAAAAAAAAACAACAA